TGAAAAACTTCATCTCRGATCCCGATTTATCAACACTGAACACCAATAAATGACCGAATCTGTGTCAAGAGCTTAAAGACGATTCGGTACTAGACAAGCTCCCGATTCACGGCATCGTGAAGTTCACAAAGCTGATGGCGTCGCAGAGAAGCGACAGTCTTCGTGCTCATTGACTATGCATGAGCATCTGGTCAACTGTGGATGTGTTATCTGATCACAGCGCTCCCCCCTGAGAGACGCCTGATGTGTTTCCCTGYGCACCAGATAAACAAGCTGACATGCAGAGAGCATGCGGAGTCACGCTCCGCACCCACATCCCCGCCTCTGCGCCTTCAACAAATGCAACTTCAGCCCAAACTGAAAGTAGCACAAGCTGTTGTTAAACATGAAACTGTGAAGGGGATAGTCGTTACGAATTTAAACACAGATCGCAGCTGAAATCTGGGAAAGTCGTTTATTTTAAATGCATGAWAAACGAAGAGTTTAACTAATGAGTCCAGATGCAGATTCAATACTGTGACCATTTTTACCATTCATTTCTGACAAACAAAGGGGAAATTGAATGTTTTCTCTCTGGTTATAATTTTCCCAAACCAAACACCTTCATAGCACCATGATGACTTAAAGTGGAGGTGTTATGAAAAATTGACTTTTTGAGCTTTGTATCATGTWATTATGTCTTTCTGTCATCAAAAGCAGAGTGCTGCTTTGATTCATTCATGCATGTTTGAGAAATCCTTGAATCTCCTGTTTTAGCCATGTGGACCTGCCTAAATGCTTGCTGCTACAAAGCACCGCCTATTTGTACAAAGCTCCTCCCTGGAGCTCAGTCTGCACCTGAGCACCCGCCCTACAGAGCACCCCTCCCCCGAAGCATTGTAAAGACGAAGTGGAAGTGTCRGAAACAGTAGGAGGTTCTTAAAGAGACAGAGGCCAATTCCCATGCTTTTAGACATAAATGCAAAATCAGTTTTATTTTTTATATATACACAGCTTTGTCAGAACTGAATGTAACATAGTTACTTGACTGTGGTATAGAATTGAACTATGTGCCTTGAAAATGCATAATACCGCCTCTTTAAGGCCTCCACACGCTCCATCCAAGCTGCTGAAATCGTCTCTCATTGTCACAGTTTTGTGACAAAAATTGCRTCATCTTGTTTGCAGCTTCAAGTCTTCTGCCTCTTCTTGTCACAACCCACTGCGACAACTTTTCAAACCCATCCACATAAGAATGATCAGAAGTTCGTGGGCATGTTTAATTACGCTGAAAGCCTCGGATGCTGCGTTTTGATTCAACTATTTGCTTCTAGAATACGGCTGTTGGACCCAGAAGCAGACATTTTTAAATTACAGTCTATGGTCCCCACTGTTACCCTAAAGTGGATTCCCTGTGGTCCAATTTCTTCCCACAGGCCAAAACATGCATGTTAGACTGTCTTCAGTCAGGCCACCTGTGAGCTCAATGGGATTTTCCTGGTAAAATAAATGTAAATAAATAAGTATATTTCCTCTCCACAATTGTGACTCAAGATCCTGTCCATGAACCCCACAAACAAGATTGGAAATGAGGGACAGAGACCGAGGACAGAGTCCACCTCACATTGTGAACAAGCTCAACTTTGTGCCCAAGGATTTGGACACAGTTCTTGCTTTGGTTATACAGGGACCAGTGACCCCATCACCCCATCGAATGTCTTGAGGGGGAAAAAATCACAATCCAGATAAAAAAAAACAAAGTCAAACTCCTTTGGACCACTGCAAGGGCAAAGCCCTGGCCCTGCCCTCTTCACCTGTTTTATAAAACTTTCCATTTGCTTTGATCTCATCACAGTAAAAAATTGGTAAAATCCTTCAACCAACAGCTATCATCAGAACCTGCCAGATGCTGCTCATACAGTTCCTCCTCCACAAACAATCTATTAGCATATTATCTGATGGTGGAAGTGATCATTTGTGGGAAAAGGGCTCTGTGGCTGCAGCTGCGGGGAAAAAAATCACTGCTAGGAAAAATGATGATGCAGAAAATAAAGCTCAATATCCTCAAAGCTTACCTCAAGTCATTTTAAAGGAAATGGGGTTTTTTTTGTATTACTGGTTGCATTGATCCTGCTCTGTAAGATCAGTGATGCAAAGTTAATTTCAACTTTTTAGTCGAGTTTGCAAAACTATTAGTTTTACTCTGCAGATGAAGCATGTGGTTATATTTAAATTTAAATCTAGCTTTTATAAGTGTACTACGCTGGAGTCAACAAAGGAAGTACTTTTTGAATGAACATTAAATTTCCTTTTCGTCTAAATTTATCAGAGTGTGTTGTCTCTGTGAGAAATGGTCGGGGATTTATTCCTCCCTCCACATCATTCATCTGAATCAATTTTCTCTTAAGATGGGCGGAGGTCATTTTGTACCGTCGAGTTGGGTAATCAGATTTCTTATTTATTTATTTTTTGTTGTTATTCTCTGCAGTATGACTAATTAGCCCTGGACGTCCTCGGAAGTGTAATCTCTAGAAAATTGCCTCTCATCCTGATAACTATAATCAAGGCAGGACAAGACGCAGAGCAATCCAGTAAACAGTGACTTAAGTCGGCTCGGAGACAAAATAATTAGCTGAATCTGAAGCTGGAGCTGAAGGTCAAGGGTTTTGATTTCAAGTAAGAAAAGAGGAAAGTGAAGTTAGTTAACCTTCAAGACATTCGTTTCCTTCCAATGATTGTTAGCATAARGTTTCTTTTTCTTACGTTTCCTTCAACGTATAAAAAAACACTTTTCGTGCAAGCTTTTAATATTTAATGACTGCTGATATCCCCGTCCAAAGAGAAAGATGAGTTGTCCCACAAACAGCACAATGTGAATCCTTCTTCAGTACAAGAATATAAACACAGCTATGTTTAAAGGTTTTATTATAGCATTTGCAATAAGAAGTTTTATTTCACCTTTATATTTGCAATATTACACATATTCTTTGCACCATCCCTACAAAGCTGGTTCATATTTTTTTAATAAATCAGTTCATGGAAAAAGAAAGAGGAGTTTCATTAAAGTCCGTGTGCTACAAAAAAACATATTTGGTGACATTTACTTGGCTGGAATAAATGCAGTTATGCTAACTGAGCTTATTGTCACCTAAAATAAGATTAAAATGAAAACGAGATAGTTTGCACTTTTTGATGTGGGATTCTGTGGAAAGGTTACAAACAATTAATATCTTATCTGTTGCAGATAGCTCTTTGAATGTTTGGAGAAAGAAATTTGAATTCTAACTGGGTTACGTCTATGACGTGCAGACGTGTCACAGTTTTCAGAAAAAAAATGTTTGCAGACATGTTTTTTTATTATTATTATTTGAGCTTCCACTTAGTATGTTTAAACAAACTACTTCTTATTTATTGGTGCACAGTTTGAATTTAATCACAGTGTTTGAGTCAAAATGCATTTCTTCTCTCATGTAAAACACGGTGATGTAACAAAAAGTAAAAATTGCTAAAACTGTACAGTAGTAAATATGCACAAGGCGTTAAGTGATAAATTATTTGATTAGTCTTCTGATTTTGTATTTGGGTGAAAAAAAAACATTTTATAAATTATTGATCGCATGCTAAAGCCTGTTCCCTCTGCTTGATTTACTTATTAACAGATAAACAAACCAATATGTAAAACCCAAACTGTGATGCTATTTTTCATCCCTGATTGATAAAACAGCTGGCTATTTATTGCATCAACTTAAAGAAACAAAAAGGTTTCTAAATTATTTTAAAATCAAAAACATAATTGCAATGATGTCCTAAAGGTCTAAATTCATAAAGCAAATTATGTTAAACTGAAAGTTACACATAAAAAAACAATTACAGTAAATAAAAAAATGATTATGCATTATTACAAAGTATTAGGTATCAAAAATGACACATCTTAAGGACATGTTGGTGTGTTACTGAGTTAAATATGCTAATGTTAGCAGACAGGCTGTTTTTATCTGCCCAATTAAAAGATTATTTCTTAATTTTTTTGGATCATCTTCAAAGTAGGGCTAAATGAATATTTGGTAGTTGCCTAAGAAGAGTTAAAAAATGAACTTCAACTATTTGCACATGTTGACATTAATGTTATTTCATATTCCACAAAAAAAAACTATTCTCAGTGACGTCCTGATGCATCTCAGTAATCCAGGTAGAAAAAATCAAAAAGAAAAAATAAGTAGGTCCTCTGGATGGGTTCTTCTTTAGTGAAACGTTTCATCTCTCGTCCAAGAGACTTCTTCAGTCTGATGAGTTTCAGGTGAACTTATAAGCACTGTCTCCACCTGTACAAACAGGTTAGTCACACGCAAAAGAGGGCCATTGCTTAACAATAGGCTTGATCGGCTCTATTGTTCATTATTGTTCACAAAAACAAGGGGACGTTGAACCCCCGCTTGCATTCACTACATTTACATAACACGACACGGGTCAGGTGATGGGGCACATGACCCTCTATGAACAATAGAACTAATCAAACCTATTGTTAGGCAATGGCCCTCTTTTGCATGTGACTAACTTGTTTGTCCATGTGGAGGCAGTGCTTATAAGGCTGAGTTCACCTGAAACTCATCAGACTGAAGAAGTSTCTTGGAGGAGAGACAAAACGTTTCACTAAAGAAGAACCCGTCCAGAGGACCTACTTATTTTTTCTTTTTGATATTCTCAGTGACACAAAAACTCCTGATTACTTGAAAAACCTAAAGTGGTCGCCATTATTTCACCTGTGCAATGCATTCTGGGTTGAAGACGTCTGTATGAAGATGACCATGACGTCTGAACCTGAGGTTGTCTCTTGGTGAGTTTTGACCTAAATAATGCCTGYTGTTTCCTGCTCATTTGCTTTATCTTGGTTTTCATTCATTTTTGTGATAAAAATTTAACAGACAAATTWAGTTTCCCTCTCATTTGGGTAAATATTCATGTGGTAAAATTGTAATCATGCTGATTTCTCTTGAGCGGTTATGAGTCTGATCATAAAAAAGTGAATAAACAAATCTTTATTATTAAATAACGTGTAACACAGTTTCAATGAGCAAGAGAATATATTTTGATGCTTATCATGAACAGTGTGCGGTTTAAAGCGCTCTCTCTCTTTAGGGTTGACATCTGCAAGMAGCGGCTGCACAAACACCAGCTCCCTCCTCTTCCTCCTCTTCATCGTCTTCCTCACTTCCAGTTGCATTCTGAGTAATTTCTGTGCTCTCCTCTCTGTCGACGTGCTCTGGTTCTGATTGAAAGGGATGGACGTTTTGCAAATTGAATGTTCTGGTTGGGTGAGGCTCACACCGGAGCAACCTGCCTATGTCATCTACCCAGAATGCATTGCAGCGTAAACAACATGGGAACATTCGTTTGATATTTKTATTTTTTTAATATGGACTAAACAGCCTACAGCATTTATAAAATCTCGCTTTTAAAGCTGAGAAAAATCAGGTATTTTGTTCCTACCAGTTAGGGATCCCTTAAAAAAATAACAAAAAAGCCACCTACTCAAAAATGTCATATTCATCATAAAGTTAACTCCCAGTTAGTAGCTTTTTATCTGAACATCCTACTAAATTGAATGAAATTACTTGAATTTTAGGAAAACAAAATTCCCATCTGTTTTGTTCCCTCTCTCTCCCTCTAGAAAAACAATATAATTTACTCCATTTCAGCATAAGAACAAATATAAAGCTAGCTCTATAGCATGCAAAGCCAAAGGCCGTCTCTAATAAGTGTTTTGAAAGGAGGAAGATTTAGCAAATGGTCAAATGCAGCTCATTTGCTGGCTTGTTAAGTGCTTTTTTTAACTGGAAAAATTAGTCTGTGAAGATAAGATTGACGTGTTAAAAAAAACAAGCACAAAGAGGAAAGTGTTAAGAAGTCAGTGTGTGTGTGGGGGGGGGGGGGGCACAGATGGTGATCTATCGAAACTGACTCACAGTACGAGCGGATGGATGGCTTATTTGTCTCGCCTTATTTGCGGCAATCCACGATTAAGTAGATCAGTTTTATTTAAATGTAGCATATTAAACAAAAAAAATAGCTGAAAATATTTTTATATATAGAAAACGTATATCACAGTAGTCTTGTGTTCAATGCCCGTCAAGCCTGTTTGAGCTTTTTAATCCTACAGAGGTCAGCGGTCAGCATTCATTTTACGCAGTTTGGGGGGCAGGTTGTCCTCCGGTCGAGTCCCTACCACTTGGACCGGTGCTGGAGGTGGTGCCGAGATGGTGCTAAAGACTGTGGGCAGTCTGTGTTTCTCCACATCAGCTTCCTCAGCATCTCCATCCAGGGGCAGCAGTTGGACCTGCTCCTCCAGGTGTCCTTGCCTGACGGCTGGGATGGAGCTGGACCTAAACCTCTGAATACTGAGAGACAGGTCTCCTGTGCTGGAGGCTTTACCCCCCGGCAAGGCTGACCCAGTCTTCAGCGCTCTCCACAGGTGCTCCTCCTTAGTGGAGCTCATCCGTTGTAGTTTATTAGGCAGCCTGAAGGCTTGTTCCTCCGCGTGCGCGTGGTCCGCGTTGTCAGCTGACAGGAGCCGTTCCCTGCGGCCCCCGCGGCCACTGTTACCCAGCAGAGGGGAGGGGAGGGTCGGGGCGATCGGCAGAGGGTTCGGTGACGTCAGTGAGTTCTTTTCCTCCTGCTCCTTGACGCTGTACGGAGGCGTGGGGACCTCGAAAGTGTTGTGGAATTGGGAGTAATCGACTCTGAAGAAGCCCTCTTCTAGTGACATGACAGGGAGGAAGCGATGGCCCCACAGCACTTCATCCTCGGTGTAAGAGGTCCTCGCCTGGCACGTCATACCTAAAATGGAAAAAAGTAAAATTGTGTTTAAAACAAAAAAAAAAATTACAAAATATAGAAAAATGAATAAAGAGCGACAACTAAATAAAAAAAGATGCCAGAAAGAAAATATGGTTAAATGAGGAGAATAGGTTCAGGTAAAAGTGGGGAAAGAGACCAAAAAATGGAAACAAACATGCTGTTGAATAATTACTAAACCTTATATTTAGCACAGGGCTATTCAACTGAAGGCCCGCGGGCCACATCCGGCCCGTGAATGACCAAAATGCGGCCCGCCAATTAGTTCATTCATCTCTTAAGCCCAGACCACCAGTTTTCTACTTTAATTACTATGAGTTATTTTACTTAAACATAGACATGTTTGGTATCTACAGAAATGTCAGAATCTTGGCTACAAGCTGGTAAAAACTATTTGTATGCACACTAAAGACAGTTAAAACTATAAGCAGTTGAAGATAAAACTATGAAAGTAAAAATAAAATTGGTTTGAAAAGTTGGCAAGTCAGAGATGTCAAAATATTATTTGTGTTAAACAGGAGGCATGATGCATTATTTTTGTTTTTGATATTGTTTTATTATCACTAAATTTATTGCATAGGGTTCTGTATGTTGTATCCATGATTAAATACAGGAAAATAAACTATTTTAAAGGTTACACATCTTTGGTTTATTTACATTACAACTTTAATTGCTGGATGTTCGGCCCCTCAGCTGTTGACCTGCATTAACCGTGGCCCCCGGAGCAATTTAGTTGAATAGTCCTGGTTTAGCATATTATATTAATGTAAAGGGCTGTATGCCACAAGCTAAGTGGATGATTGGGAACAAGAGATCTTTTTAAAAAAAGGAAAATTGTTTCATCTTACCTGTGGTTTCCACGATGCCTTCGAGGATGACGACGATCTCAAACTGCTCGTTCATCAGTGAGCGCTGGGACAGATCAAAGAAGGGACTGTCTGTGTTGATCTCGTGGCAGATGGTGAGAGGCGACACCAGGAAAAGCTGGTCCGCCCCCGTGCCAAAACCTACGTCCAGCTCACACTGGTCCAGGGGCAGGAACTCTCCTTCTGGGGTCTGCCGGGACTGAAAACACACGTCATCAGGACTTTACAGAAGTGAATTCCTATTCCATGTACCAAACTAAACATTATTTAGTCTAATTTGAGGTTTTGTCCACTTATAAAACACATTTCCAGTTCTGTTCAACTTTAAATGTATCATCCAGTCACTATAATGACACCACTTCTTTGCCTCTTGCTACAACAGGAAATAAAAGTAGTTCCCATAAACTGTCAAACTTTTACATGGCCTTCAAGMTGGATAAGACAAGAAGCTTTTTTGAAATTCAAAGTACTGCTTTTTCTTTTTGTTGTCAAACAACCCAGGTGACAGGTATTCAGTCTACAAGGCSTTCTGTCAGACAGACCGATTACTGTACTGTATGTCAGAACAATAACACCCCTTTAAGGATATTTGTCATCCTAAACTTCAGCCTAATGTGTTTTTTGTTTGTTTGTTTTGTTAGTTTTTTCTAATTCATTTTTGATTGATTGACCCTGCCTACTGAAGAAGGGATGATAAAAAAAGGAGGAAAGACACGTTTTCTTAGCTCTGAGTTTCACCTCTTAGTGTTGATKCTGCAGAGTGAAGCCACTTAAATACAGATAGTTTGCTTAAAGGAAAGTTTATGAACCAACCATTAAGATATTGTCTGTTAGCTGGTTGCACAGCTTTAGTTTGGAGAAACTTTCATTTTGACCACACTGATGATCTGATTGCTGCTTCACTACAACTCAAGTCTCAAAAATATTAAATAACCTTACATCTCGCTCATGCGGAGCCCATCCGGCGACATTGGCAAAAGAAAATAATAAATCAAAAAAATTAAGTGTGGCCACAAGATAAACAAAAAAAAATATAATTTTGAGCAATGTCTCTGTGAGAAATACAGACGCTGTTTGTGTTTAGCTCTTCAAAAGTACCCCACACTTAATACTATTTTTCTTTTTATTGCATGTTTAATCAAAATAGTATACCTCCATGGTTCGTTTTTTATAGTACTAGTATAATAACTCTGTGTCGGTAAACATTTTTTAAATTGTAATCCTGAACACTAACTCCAACTCTTTCTGCAGGAAAGGCACGGTGTGAGAKGAACTGCATTATTTCGTTATCTCTCTCATGACCACACATTAATGTTTTATCCACTGTCACTGTATGGGCTCCATAATCAAGTTTCCTTTCCATGACTRTGCCTGTATAGAAATACTATGATATTCCTGCCAGAAGTATCTGAATCCACATAAGGCAGTTTTATAGCTACYTATGTTTTAAAACAAGCATGAAATTCAGTACGAAAGACAATTTAATGCAAAACTGAAGATGTAAAAGATGTTAGTATCTGCTTGAAAAACTATAAAAGTTTGAAACTGGACATTGTTTTAAGCAATTCCTTTACACTTAAGAAGGTGATATATACTGTGTGTATACTGTATATA